ATATATTATCTTGTTACGAGCTGATGTCCTAGATGTCTGAATGTTATGCTTATATCTTATTATTTAATTAATTTAGCATTTTACCCACGAGATATATATGGTACTAGATGCGTTCCATAAAATTGAGTCTTCCAATCCAAACAGATTGTCAAAGGAAAGCAAAGTACAACTAAACAACAAAAGAAATTTTTATATCCACCACCACCAATAAGCGTACACACCAACGGCTTGTCATGATATTTCCCGCAAGAGACCATAAGCAAAACATATATATATATCGCATTAGTCGTCGTATGAAATACTTTTTTCGTTTTTGCGTTCGTCGAACGATACCGCGGCTATTGAATTTTGGATAAACACGAAAAATTTTATAGAAAACTAAAATTGTTATGCAATAAGCCAGTAAAAGTGGCTGAAAAATTGCTTTAAAAGTAAATCAAGACTAAAATCATGCATGATTTTAACTAACTAACTAACCAGGTTTTGTACAGACCTAAACTCCAAAAACTTGGTAGATATTAAAAGAAAATTTTAAATTAAATGCAAAATTTTTCCAGGGAGCGCTCCATTCTCTTTATTACGCCTTAAACTCCTTCGGCTACAAGGATATATTTATTATGTTTGTGCAGTGTAGGCAACATTGGGAATTTTTTAGATTTAAACTTCTCTGTTAGCTGGTCCTTCTGTTTTGTTTCCTTGTGTTCGACGTATTGCCCGCAATTTTGAGATAATTTGATCAAATTTTGTACACTGACATATTTTGGTTCAAGAATAAACGCATTGTGTCTTATTGGCTGACATGATAATTGAGTTTGTCAATAGCGATGACGAATTTTGAATTCAAAGTCAACCCCACACTCATAGCTGAAGCTCATGTCAAATTCACACTAATGAAGATTAATAATGCTCTAAGAAAGCTTCTTCTTGTCTTCCTCTGTTTTAGTCGAAACGCCGACTGTGTTTCTAAAAATAAACTATAAGCCGTAGAGTGTGCGAGGGGTGCCTGCGACACACGCAAACATCGCATTATGCGATCACCATTTGTGATCCAGAACATCCAGAAGGACCTAAGATCAAATCCACCTTTTACTACACCGATCAATTCAGAAAGTGATTCTGAATCAATCGAAAGTTGTGTGTCCCTTTCAAATTCCTGTGTTCAAGCTACAGATCGCAATTATTTAGGTATTCTGATGAAATTTGCTCTATCGACATATTTTGGACCGTATAACACGTTATTTGAAAAAATTGTTACTTGGATAATTGTGCGACGATGTAGGGCATTTAATAAAGTTTCTACATGTTTGATTTGCAAAAACTGATTTCAATTTTTTTATCACATTTCACTTTCGCTAAACAAATTTTCCAACAACGTTTGTATAAGAACCAGATCTCGCTTTCAATCACGATCTCTTCACAAAGTGCGCCATACGCCAGTCAAAATTATATCAATAATTATTAATTACATGCAAAAATGCGTAAATTAAAAAGGAGAACTGAACATGCCGAGAGTCTCCACGAAGATTGCTTGCCCTCGCTGGATGGTGTTGAGATAATGCTACAAAACGAGACCCACTTTTGACTTGGAGTTTCCGTAAATATATTAAAGACCCAGCAAAATCGAAAGTTATACATGACATTCGAACTACACAATATTGACAAACATTTAACATGACATGATAATCGCAAACATTGCAAATATTCACTGCATGCAGTCAATGCTTTAATTAGTTTTTTTTTTTTTTTTCAACAAAGGAAATGAATCTCTTATATTCACGATGATCAGTACCGCTTCAAGCCACGCCCCTATAGTTGAAACTGATATGAATGTCTCAACACGTTATCTCAACGAGCAGAAGAAAAATATGTGGAACCACCTGCGAGAGAGAGAGAGACTTCTTGTTTATGAAAATAAATTTGGACAAGTGGAAGCCCTAATGCAAAATTGAATGCTTACTAATGTGCTATATAAATACGATTGAAAAATGGACCCGATCGATTTAAGTCAATAATAATGTATCCACACTACGTCTGTTGAAATATTTCTATTCTATTATTATCCTCCATCCGTTGCATTTACCTATGCCTTCTTTTCTATACTCGCTCTGGTTTCACTTTACCACCAATGACTTTATGATAGCTATAACCCATTTGCATTTCGATGACACTTTAACTTGTGAACGGTACGCGTACACATTAATGAAAATTTGCGTTTTACGTAAATTTACCCTGAGGTGGTGGATATCGACAATTCGCTACATAGAGCGAACATAACTTTCGTATTTATTTTTTATTTATTTTCTCTTAAACTGTTATTAAGTAAATTTCAGTAATGTGAGTGTTTATGCATGATTTATAATTTTTCGTATTTTTAAAGTAAAATTTAAAAAATTGCTGTAGATGGCGGCGATAAGAAGAAGAGCATTCATTAACACTTCGAACCGTTCTCTTCGATGTAAACGTTGCCGGATTTAATGGTTGTAAATAAACGACGATCATGACGTTTCTCCGATTTTTCTGTAAAAAGAAAGAAAAGAGAAAAAAAAGAAAAAAATTTTATTTAAAAATTGCCAACAACTTTTGTTCGATGCGATGCGAATAATACGTTTTATAAATCACACCTTCAAGTAAATCACGATTCCTCAAAAGCAATATTTTTAATTTTTTTTTTTTTATTACCAACTAAACAATTCAATAACCCGAACAAAGTCGAATATAGGGAATCCTTCCTCCGTAACAGTATTGCATGCCGCTATTTAAATGAATAAAGGTATGGCATGGAAAATGTCTCGTATACTGATTGGCGACGTGCGGTAATAAAATAACAATTTTGAGTGTAAATGACCGTCACATTGGCATTGAATTTTCTTGTTTTAATCGGCGACATAGACGAACTATAATTTTTCATTCTCTCATATGAAATGTAGTACAATCTGATGGACAATGTGTTATGCATAATTATTGTATAGTAATTAAAGATTTTTTGAATCAAGATATTTATACGTCAGTCTGTCAATACGACAATCATTACCCTAGCCTGACCATCGGTCAGTTATTAATTACCGAGGCAGACACATAGATGACGTCTCTAAAAAAAACAAAAACAAAATACCAAATTATTTTTAGATAAATTCCAACTTTTAAACCACAATTTTATATTATTTCGATCATTTAACTGCGAGTTACGATGGCTTTAATGGCATTACGTCCTTCTGGTTTTCCAAAAAAGGGAATAATTGAAATTCTTGTGAAAAAAATGTCACGCGAAATATTGAATTGTTATATAAATTTATTGTGCTAAGCTTGGACGACTCTCGGATCCCCTTTCCATATATGCGTTGTCATGAGAAGCGTTTGCACACACGCCAAGAAGGTTCAATTTAGAGTAAGTTAGGACAAAAGTACACTAAAAATAATGAGTGCTTCGATAAAAAATTAAATTTAGACCCTCCCATCACGCACACACCCATAAAGGCCTTCATGAGAAAGCAGTTAAATAAATAGTTGCTAGACGATGTGTGTGTGCGAGTATTTAACTTTGACTTGTTTACTTCTCCATACGGACATAGTCGAGTATTAGCTCAAGTTGTAAATGATTTACTATTGGTCTCATGATAGGTCTTTGCTGTTGTTGCGTTATATAATAAAATGAACATCGATTGTTTGGCGGACACAAACAAAGATGGAAATAAATTTCAAGACAGTGTCAAGTCAAATAAAGCAATTGAGTCCTGTACGAAAAGGAAGTTATTCGATTTAATATCGAGTTAGTAAGATTTTTTTGCGGATCGACGGAATTAATTTTGAATTTATGTTAGCGAATGTGAGACAAAAGCTTTGAAGCAAAATTTTATACTTGAACGTGCGCATGGCATATTCATGATCTCATTCAGCAGACAAATGACAAAGATATTTAAGTGGACAGACAGATTTTATGGAATGTACCAATTTCGGGTTTCTTACGACTCTTCGCTGAATGTAATAGGTCTTCTTTTACGCTAAACAATCGAAATGATGTCTTCGCCAAGTTTATATTTTATCGGCACTATATCTGGTGCAAACATACGTAACATTACCCTAATCTGTGCGCTATAGGAAATATCCAATTAAAAAGTTTGCAGGCGAGAAAAATCGAATACTACTTAGAGAAATAAAAGGTTGAGCCATTTATTCTAAACACAAGATCAGTTCATCTGTAGAGAGATAAAGGACACCTTTGAAAAAAAAAAAAGAAAAAAAAAATTTATTTTAAGAAAATTTTTAAAATTTTCATAGGTAACGTCGTACTAACAACTAATCGACGACCTATATATATACGAAATACTGTATACATACAACGCACTTAAAGAATTAGTTGACGTATTAGCGTATGCAACGCACATTACACAATTCTTAAGCTCTTTTTTGCCCTATTTTTTCCAATATTGTTTTAAATTTAGATCTGAAATGTCTCATAATTAAATAAACGCGTGCAACTCGATGCACAGCACTTGACGTATTAGCATATCGATGTCCTCAATACATTTGAAAGTGTTAAATGCACACCAAGAGAAGTAAATAAGCGAATTTATACGAAGAATAAAATGAAGAAGAAAAGATAACTTAGATAACGTAAATAAATATCTCGGCAATAATCGCAATCAAATTAGAAAAAATAAACAAAACATATGATGCTTGAAACTGACAGGAAACCACTTGAAAAGTCTTCCTTTTCGTATACATATATATATATATACATAGATATTCGCACGAGACATCGTCTAACTAAGGTTGAGGTCATACGATCCTCTTCTACTTTCCGTTGACCTAAATGGATTTTTTCGAAAAAAAAAAAAAAACAAAACAAAAAAGCATACAACAACATAATAATAACAAATGCTCGCTCACCTGGTAGCATAACATGTTGCGGTTGTTGAAAAGTAGTGGCTGCTGCCGTCACCGTCATGGCTGTGGTTGTTATACCTAAAGCGTCTGCGTTGCCAATAAAAAATGTTCCGCCCTCTAGGCTTTGGACTTCAGCCAGTTTGGCCATGAGTCTAGTTGAAAGTTCTTCAACATCTAATAAAAAAGAAAAAATAAAAAAAAAGATATGAAAAAAAAAATATGAAAAAAAAAACAATAAGAACAACAAGAAATATATATAATTAGTTTCTTCTTTCTATTTTTCATTTTATTAACTCGTCTCTATCGACGTACTTGTGTTATACAACCATAACAATACAACAAATTCAATTCCTATACATAAGTGTACGTGTGTTGTACGTACGTACGTACGTACGTTCTTCTGCACAACGCTTATAAACATTATCTTTTATAGACATTAAATTAAACACATGTTATTTTTGCCCATTTGTTAGTATATAACCATTCGCCGCATTACTCTTCCCGCATTGCCGACGATATATGATGATATGGCCAACGTATCATGCATTAGTGCGGCAGAAATTTGACGCAAGTATAGCAATCGTATCCTCAATGTTTTCGCACTCAATGAGAACGTTTATTTGTGAGGTGTAAGTAAGCAGAGGCATATGTACCGACCGAGCACATATCAAAAGAAATATTACAAAAAAAAACAAAAAACAAAAAAAAAAAAAAGAAGCGAAATCGAAAAAAAAGGAAAACCAAAACGAAAACGAAAACTTATTGTAAACAAAACATTGCGAAAAGTAAACTTTTCCTTTCCTCGTATACGTTTGCCGTATAAATCAACAAGTACAGGGTGCAAGGGTTTCACTTCGAATAAATGACGTCTAAAACTTTGATTACAAAACAAATAATTAAACATAAATTTCCATTCAAATTAATTAAAAGTTAATTGTGAAAAGCAATGAAAAAATTAGAGCAAGAAAAAAAAAAAATAAATTGACTTTGGCTTGAACTTCTCGCATCCATCAGTTATACAGACGTAATAATATAAAGACTATTTTCTTGCACAAGTACATGCAAGATGGAAGAAATTCTATGTACACTTTGTGTGTCCGACCCTATGGACATGTTGAAAGTACCTGAAGAACTTAACAGCAATAAAATATTGGATCTTACTAACACGACCAGATCAACTCTTTCGTCCTAGATGTTATCTCCTTGCTCTAACTAAATTATAACAATGATGATAATAATAATAATAATAAGATATGGACAACAATAAAATAATTGATTATTAAGTTTACGTAAAACACGGATAAAATAAACAAATTTGAAATTACATTTAAATATTAATATCTTATAGAAAGTTGTGAGATCGTCGTGTTACGATAAAGGGAACGAACACAAACGTGTCAACAAAAGGCCATAAATTGATTTCGCAGTTCGTGCTAAACAAAGTGTAGATACATAGTCCATACGCTTGGCCCACAATAAACACATGGAATATCTTATAAAAATAAATGCTAACCCTAACGTGTAGGGAAGGGTACTGTTTACTTTAGATGTCATTTGCAATGCAATACAAGGCAAACACTTTTTTTTCAATTAAAAGCCATTTCTTAATTGAAAACCACTTTTTTCCTCGGTGTGGGAAAATTCGAAAATGAGACTAAGAAAGAACTGAATAAGAAACAACATACATAAGTGAAATTGAATGGAAACTGGTTAAAGATAAAATGAGCCCAAAATTAACCGGATAAAAACCGAATTCGATAGGAAAATAGGCTGAGTTATAGGCAAAGTTTTCATTATTCATTCATACACCATCATATGGAATCATTATAAAAACTACTCCAACTCTCCGAGTAACAGCAACCACAGCGAACTATGGCCATATCTTTAATTAATTAACCAAAAAAGCCAAAAAAAAAAAAAAAAAAAAAGAAGAAAAACCCATTTTTTCCCACTATGGCATATGAGCTTTAAATTAATTTATTTATGCGATTTTTTGTGAAGAAATAACGCGAACGACATCAACTCTTAGCTTCCTAATTAAATGCTAGCAACCGAATTGGAACTGACAGTCATACATATCGATCCATCTCTTTAACAATGAAAGATTTCTTTATCACGCGTAGCGAAACGCAAAAGAAAGAATGAGTGGCGGAATGATGAATGCCCTCCTTAACTGTCTATAGAATGCTTACAACCTGCTAAATAAAAAAAAAAAAAAAAAAACGAAAGAGGAAACGAATAAACAAGAAATCATTTTTATTGCATAATCATTGGTGTGAAATTGTAGGAATTGTGTGTGATTGTCTATCTTTTCATTAAATCATTCGCTCTCCTCTTAAGCCAAAGCGATTTGAAAATGGTTCAAATCGCCGTATAATAGTTTATCCATAGTAAATGAAATACTGAAGGATGCCTCCGTCAGCTGATTTATTTTCATTCATCTTTTTTTTTTTTTTTTTTGCAAATTTTAAATATTTTGTCAAATAGATGCGCATATTAACTTTTACATAAGTTGTATTAAGAAAAATATGGAATCCTATATATCATTCATATATATGTATATATATATATATATATATATATACCACTTAAAATAAACAAAGTAAACTAAAATATCATTTGAAATGTTATTCTTTATAATTCTTTATTAAATCATGAACTTTGAGTCATGAACGAGCAAAGGAAAAGGCGAAGAAACAGAAGGGCATACTAACCGATGAATAAAAGAATGACAACAGTAGCACACGATTGGGCCCTGCTTAACAGATGGATAGACGGACGGTTTCCAATCGGTTTGATAGCTCGGTACATGCTAAAGCATAGACGAACGGATGTGCAGCTAGACAGGAACATGGAAAAACTACCGGAAGTGACAACTAACAACTAATTAATTGGAAAACTAAGGGAAAGAGGAGAGCGCGTAGAGTTGTAATTAATCCAACTCAGTGTTTTACCTTTGCCAGTCTCACATGTCATGCCAAAACCATGCAAGAGCTAAAACTGCGCCTCGTAAACCCACCATCTACACTCTTCGTAATAAAATAATGATAACATTAAGCAATGAATGAAATAATGCGAAACTTTTTTTGAACAATCTGCCATTAGACTGTCGTGTTGTGCGTTTTGGTCGTCTCTTTTAACAATTGGATATTTCTGCTAGCTTTCGACTTTGGATTATATAAAGACTGCTAAACAGACCTCCAAACTGCAGAAATGCTAACCATTCGATCATTGTACATATCTTTGTAAAATTCACGCAGAAATTTCATTCTGGTACATAAACGATGTATGAAATTGTTTTGCTTTAAAGCATTTACTATCACAAATCCATCTTATGCTATAAGCAGGTCATAGAACATCTTAAGGGCCAGTCATGCAATGTGTAAACATTTTCTGAATCCGGGATGACTTATAACCGTATCTACATGTCTACTACAACTATTATCAATGTCAGATGTCGTTGTATTATCTTTTTATAAATTCCCTAACTTTGCTATTTTTTCAACTGCGCCTACGTCTAAACCCATCAGGAGAAGCTTACATTCATTCTAGTTTATTCCAGAATTGAAAGCAATAAAAGAATTCAAACAAAGTGATTAGGTGTAGGGTTATTATGGTAGACACTCTATTTTCAGAAATCAATTTCCGCGAATATTATTTCAGAAACTTGCTCAAGAGGCAATCTGCTCTTTAAGTAACCCAAGGCGATTTTGTAGTAAGTTTTCAAATTCCAAAGAAAAGTTACTTCATTTCATTTTATTTTATTTTTAACCCAGCCCTCCACTTATTTCGATCACATAAATGATAGCCTATCCGAGCATTTCAATAAATGAATATCTGTGCCGACGAGGCATTACAAGGTTGTTTAAAAGCAATGAAGGGCTGTTGGCTTCCATCCCGTGTATTCTTAAAAACTGTGCCGCAAAGATTCCCTGTAATCATACGGACTTTCTACTCGTTGGAAGACTAGTT